CTGCCGAGACGCGCTGCCTCCCTGCCCGAGAAGCTCTGTCATTAATTTCACTGCCATCAAAATAAATTAATAATTTTAAAAAATAGCTAGTGCCCCACCCAGCCCCAAAATGTTGTTAATCACCGCGAGCGCACTGCAATAATATGTAGCTGCAGAACCACCATTATATACATGCTGAATTTCGGTGTATTCGAATAACGGTACAGCAATTCACTGTAGACCCCGAGAACAATGCAGAGCCATTACAGGGCACTGTGGTCATTCACACATATTTTATGAAGTTTGCTATTTTCTGTTTAATGCGTGTTACTTCATACTGCAACAGCGCCTCTTCATATTGGCCCAGGTAAAAGTCTTAGGGAAAATGCTTGTCACGTCTATTCACGTTCTTTTTACATAGTGCACTTCCCAGGCTGGTAGCCCGAATAGGTGGACGTGTAACGCACAACGGCGCCAATCAATCAATCGATCAATCAATTGATCAATCAATCGATCAATCAACCAATCCGCAGCTTTGAAATTAATCACGATATCAAAGCACTGAAATGCTTCCGGCCATTGAGGCTTCCTTTGTGGTGGGGTTCAAATAAGCACTCAGCTAAACTTTTTAACATTTCTAATCATCACTGGATTTTGCATCTTATATACTTTATCAGTTGTACGCCATATACACTCTTTAGTATTAATACAGGAATTTGTGCCCAGTGTGTTAAAGATTAATGATTTACAGGCTGAACAAAGCTGCCTTCTAGGGCCGTTAAACATCGTCAGCTGTGACCTTTGCACATGTCATGAACGTAAAAGTATTTTGAAATAAAATCCCCGTCCCCGGTAAGCGTTCGTGGACAGGAAACCGCCAGAGTCAAATAAAATATCACAACATAAACCTCTCATTCCGACTAAATGCCGGTCTGGGCTGTTTGTGGAATGTCCAAAACGGCACTAAGTTTACTGGACTTGTACTGCGATCCTGGGACGCTCCTCTGTCCTAAAACTCGGGTTAGAGTGTAAGGATAAACTGCAGAATCATACGTGACCACTAGGTGGTGATAAACAACAATATAATGTTTAAATCTGCAGCATTAAATTAAAGGTGATGTTACACTGTAAACCCAAGTTCAGTCAACTCAAAACTTTTGCGGTAACGGATTACCTGTTTTTCAAATTAATCAACAAATAGTTTTAAGTAACTTGTACATAA